AAGACCAATCCAAACAGATAACTGAAATCTTTTATAAGATCAGCGTTCTGTTTAAATATGATCACGTCGTTATATCTTTCTTCATACTGTCGGATCTATATCCATATATTTGCTTACATACATATATATATATATATATATATATTATAGGAGGCACGGTGGAGTAATGGATAGCAGTTTGGATTGAGGAATTGGAAAGCCGAGTTCAAATTCCAGTCAAATCCATTATATTCACTTAATAATACGCTTGGGAAAAGGTGTGAATCCTCTTCTTCTCCCTCCAGATATGGATCAATAGACTGGGTTCTATAGCCTTGGATGGCAACTGGTCTAGGAGAAGGACAACTCTGAATTCAAAACCTGTGGAGGGTCATTTGGGGACCTTGTGGCACGTAGTGCACCATGTCTCTGTATTCGACCCTTCAAAACTGTGGATGGTCCTGCACGAAACCTTCACCACTATAATCAAATCTCATGTGCTGTTGTCGGGCTGTCGTTTTCCTAGGAACTGATCTGCTTGACCATCGTATGTCGAATTCGACGGGAGAGTCGAGTGTATATCTATCTATCTATCTATATATATATATATATATATATATATATATATATATATATAGATGCAATTTTTTTATATATATTATATATTATATATGTGCTATACTTATTGGAAAGTGCTCAATATCAGTGATAGAGCTAACATATTTAGTTGGATTGATGTGAGTTTATGACCTTGGGTTTTATGCTATTTGCGATCGTCAGACAAACTGATTAATTTTTAAATTTTGGATTTATATACGATTGCGTATTCGATGTTTTTATGGAGGTGGGAGGAAAAATTGTTGTTGGGATGCCACTCACGCTTAGGTAAACATACATATGTGCATATATACTCATCAACGTATGCAAACACACACACATGTACGCACGCTCACCAGAGCTTACACAAACATAAATATATGTGAAGAGTGTGGGATTGGGCATATATGCTCATATGTGTTGTTGCACACACATGTACACATTTGGTTGCTGTATTCAATGTTGAACTGTGTAGCAAATATTTCCTTGCCTGTTGCGCTATCAACGCGCAGACCATTTTTCTATTTTTGTTTGCTGGATAATATTTACTTGCATAGTGAGTGAGCGTGTGTGTGTGTCTGCGTACGTTGATGCATGTACATGCATGTATGCATGTTTGCATAAGTATGAGTGGTGTCCTGACAACAATTTTTCCTCCCACCTCCATAAAAATACTGACATATGCAACCATATATAAATCCAAAATTTAAAAATTAATCAGTTTGTCTGATGATCACAAATAGCATGAAACTCAGGGTCACAAACTCATATCAATCCAACTAAATATATATATATATATATATATATATATATATATATATACATACACACACACACACACACACACACTGCGTGTCAAATTATTATCAAGATAACTTTTTTTCTAATATTTCAAAAACCGTCCAATCAATTCACTCAAAATTTTCACACAATGTTGGCAACACTGACTTGTGCAATCACTGAAATTTTCGTACTGATCTGTGCAATGCAAACAAACTGGCGCCATATTTGTTATCAGCACGGTGATTTGAGTGTGTCAAATTATTAGAAAGGTTTAGTAAAATTCCCAGAATTGAGCATGCAAAATGTTTATTAATGTTGCACATGAACGTTTATGATCAAAAGAAGCTAATATATAAGATAATCAAACAAATAATAACAGATACAAACAAAGGCACAGTTTTAAACAAATTAATAGGGAATGTGCTTTCCCTGTTTTGAAATTACTTGAAGAAGTCTACGATCCATAGAATTTTGTTAATTGTAGGATGTCATTTGCTGTAATGACACGAGATATGTCAAGAATTGCTTCCCACAACCCAGCGTTGCTCCTGAATTCTCGTCCGTTGGCGTACAGTCTTCGCTTCATGATGCTCCAAAGGTTTTTGATTGGGTTCAAATCCAAACAATTTGCTGGCCACTTCATTTTTTGAGGTCCATCGAAGCCTAACTGTTTCAAATATTCAGTAGTCTTGTGAGCAGCATGTGAGAGAGCATTATCTTGCATAAAATCAATGGCCCTTCTGAAGGCAACTCTTTGCCTTTTCCTCCATGGCTCAAGATGCTCCTTCATAAACGCTATGTATGCATCAGCAGTCATTTTGACGCCATCTGGTACTCTCCATGGGCCCACTAATGTTTTTCCAATAATACCACCCTAGATCATTATGCCTCCACCACCTTGTTGGCGTCTCAAACTCTGATGGCGATTCTGTCCGTTCATTACCCAGCCTTTGCACCATCTATCTGGCCCATCAAGTGTTGCTTGAGTTTCGTCTGTGAACAAAACTTTAGAGAAGTCAATCTTCATATTGTCCTTGGCCTATTTCAATCGATTTTGAATGTGATTTCTTGTCACCGGAGGCTTTGATACAGATTTGACTGTTGTTGCTATTTCCCTCAGATACTGACACAGTACTTTTAGACACATTAGGATCCCCAATGCAACTGAAAAGCTCTTGATTGGTAAGTCCAGGGTTATTTGTGGCCTCTCGTTTAAGTCGTGACATGAGACGACGTGAAATAACCTTTGGCTTGCCTGTATCTGCCGTTTTGCGTACTTGTGTAGCGTCGGCGGTGAACTTTTTCACTGTTTGATGACACCTCCCTATCATTTTAGAAGTTTCTAGAGTAGATTTACATTTTGAGAGTTCTGAGGTGATAGTTTTCTTTTCAGAATCACTTAAACTGTGTTTACGGCCCATCTTTTCACTAAATTCTTGCACTTTTCTAATAATTTGGCATGCTCAAATCACCATGCTGATAACAAATATGGCGCCAGTTTGTATACATTGCACAGATCAGTACAAAAATTTCAGTGATTGCGCAGATTAGTGTTGCCAACATTGGGTGAAAATTTTGTGTGAATTGATTGGACGGTTTTTGAAATATTAGAAAAAAGTTATCTCGATAATAATTTGTCACGCAGTGTATATAATTATTTATTTAAAAATTATAACATAAATATGTTATAAAATCACTATAAAAATAGCCATTTTGTTTCACCACCTCTAGTGTCTTGTCTTTTTTTTTTTTTTTTTTTACATTCAACATCTTCACTTGATAAGACACCAGAGGTGTTGAAACAAAATGGTTATTTTTGTAGTGATTTTATAACATATTTATTTTATAATTTTTAAATAAATAATTATATCTGCTCTACTCTGTAAGAATAGTAATTGTTGGTTATTGGAATTTATTCCGTATACACCAACCATATACTTGGGGATATATATATATATATATATATATATATAAGGTTTCTTCTATATGAATGCATTGAAAATCAGGAAGAAAGGGATTGTCAGTTGTCTGGAATAATTGCAACACTTACTAACAAAAAAGGGCTATTACATTTGTAATGTTTCTTCCATAGAATTCATTGAAAATCAGGAAGAAAAGGATTGTCTTTGGTCAGGATGTAATGCAGCCATTACTAATAAGAAAGGCTGTTATATTTGTAATTAATATTGTTTTTAATGGTAAAGATGTCATTGAATAAGGGAGGAATGTGGTGTCTGTTTTTTCCTTGCCCATAATATATTCAATAAGTCTGGAGACTTAGTTACTGCAGTTAATTATTACTGTCTATAATAGTAATAACATGTGCTCCAATTATATCAGCAGTTATTCATCTGTTTTAAAGAATGGGATCAGTTTATTTATTTGCAATATTGATATGCATTTAGAAGTTTGGTTTATCATCATAAATTAACTTTGTCATGAGAAGTAAATATCCATTGAAACAATGATACTTACTCCTTGGTCCCATTTTAATTTTTATATCTACAATATTAGAAAACATTTATATTTTTATATCTAATGTGGGATACTTAAAAATATGATTTACACATGGGCTATTGTACTCATCTTTGTTGTTGTTATAATGTAAATAATGATAATGCCTCATCCCAGAAACTTGAACAGAAATTTACAAACATATTTACATTTTTATATATAATGTGAAATATTTAAAAACACATTTTCTATATAATATATATATATATATATATATATATATATTAAAAATATATTTTTATTTTATATTTAATATAGGATATTTAAAAAACATATTCATATATATATATATATAATGTGGGATACATAAAACCTTTTATATATAATGTGTAAAATTTAAAACATATTTATATTTTTGTATATAATGTTTGATATTTAAGAGTATATTTTTATTTGTAATATGGGATATTGAAAAATATATTGATATTTTTATATATATAATATGGGATATTTAAAAACATTTATATTTTTATATATAATTTGGAATACATAAAACATTTTTATATATGTGGGATATTTAAAAATATATTGATATTTTATATATATAATATGGGATATTTAAAATATATTGATATTTTTATATATAATATGGGATATTTAAAAACATTTATATTTTTATATATAATTTGGAATACATAAAAACATTTTTTATATATGTGGGATATTTAAAATATATTGATATTTTTATATATAATATTTAAAATATATTGATATTTTTATATATAATATGGGATATTTAAAAATATATTGATATTTTTATATATAATATGGGATATTTAAAAACATTTATATTTTTATATATAATTTGGAATACATAAAAACATTTTTATATATGTGGGATATTTATCAATAAGAACATTACTTCAGTCTAATGAAATCCTTTTAGAGGATGTTATATAGAATTCCTATCCACTTTATCATTCATTAGCCTAATATTTAACTAAATCAGGTTTATGGATGTGTCATGGGTTGGGGTATTGAATATCCTCAAGGTCTTTAAGCATGAAACAGCATGTGAGCCCTTACAATTACTCTCACTTTTTCTAACCGTGACGACTAACCAAAAGAATGTCCTTCTCACTCTCTGTTGCCCACTCTACAATCTCTACTGTGTGTTGTCATTTCAGCCATGAAAGCTGGAGATCTCGGTAAGCTAGCTTTGCAGATTTTCTCTTTTAATCTACTCACACAATTCTGCGCTTGCGCTTTGAAACGGGAATGTCATGGTCAGCAGCTGCACTTGACTTGCAGTATGATTCCAGTGTAACTGAGTGGTTGCAGAACTTATTAACATATTACTGCTAGACTTGTACTAAAAAATAAGTGTTCCTAATTATCACATTGCAAGAATTAAAAATAATAATGTCATAGTTATACACATTAATTGCTTAAAAATTACTTTGTTTATATTTCCGGTATAACAAATAAAGTTTGCCGTTACAGATTTGTAAAAGGTCATGAAAGCATTTTTTACTGAAATTGAACCTTGCTTTGTTATGATATCTTCACATAATCTAATTGGTAATGACAAATTTCATTTTATATATATATATATATATATATATATATATATATATATATATATATATATATATAATTTAAAAGAAAAAACAGAACACTTTATGGTACCATTACAATAATTTATTTCACCAGAGTCCTTTTAAAGGACGCCGGATCATCAGATAGCACTTCCAACAACGAAATGAAACGAAAAATGAGATTAAGATTGATGGGTAGTGTAAGTTTTTGTAATTTAACAGGGGGTGTGAGAGGGATAGTTAAAGAGAAATTCCCATGGCAACCATTTAAGATTTTAATGAAGTTTCACTTTGCAATAACCACCCTAGAGAAATTGAAAATGTGAAAATAAAAACTTCCTTTGGGCCAGAGAGTTATGGCCTTTTGAAAATTGCTTGGATTTTCGTGTTGTCAGTCCATAGTTGCAAGGGTGGGCTGAAAAGTTCATAGGCTGATTATGAAGGAGTGATGCTAGAACTGTGAAATTTTGCATGCACTAATTTCAACTCTTCTCATTAATAACTGCATTGTTCCTTTCCAGGTAAACTAACATATAATTGTTCAAAGAAGACTTAAAATGTAACTAGTTGTGACTTCTATTGAAAATGTACAAAGTTTGGCTTCATAGTGTTAATAAGTATATGTAAAAAAAATGTTTAATCTCAACACCCCCTCCCCCCATCAGGACATTCATGCTGACATAATTACTACATTAGGTGATGGCACCCCAGGTTTATCAACAGTGCAAAAATGGGCAGCTGACTTTAGGAGGGAAAGTTGCGCGCGTTGAAGATGATTCAAGGTCTTGTCGTCTTGTGACTGCCACCACCCGAGGAAAACATTGAATCTGTTACCCACGTGATGATGGATGAGACACAGTTGACTATAAATCAAATAGACAATGCTATTAGCATATCCCATGAAAGAGTTGAGAATATTTTGCACAATGAACTTGGCCTGACAAAGGTTTCTGCTTTGTGGGCTTTACATCTTATCACACCTGATCAAAGGCACACAGGCTGGGAAGATCTAACACTGTTTAAGGCAGATCCAGTTGGTTTCCTTGAATGTTTCCCAAGCCAAGATAAGTGATGGGTTCATCACTTTAAGCCAGAGATGAAGAAACAATCTATGTAGTGGAAACATCCCTGCCCCACTCTTCACCTTCTCTAAAGTAGGGCAAGGTTGTTTCATCTGCAGGGAGGTTTATGGCCTGTTTTTTGGATGCAAAAGGCAATTTATTGACTATCTTCAAAAGGGCCACACCATCAAAAGAGAGTACTGTGTTGATAAAAAGTAGAGAAATCTATCTATGGTGTCTTGCTCAGGCACATATTCCTTTTAAAGGGGTTAATTTCTATGCTACTTCTCAAATGCTAAGTATCTATAATATATTGAGTGTGTGAACATAGTAAGCCAATACATAATTAAAAATTCGATTTGTATGTCACTTCTCATATACCAAATTTACTTTATTTATATTTTAATGCTAACATTTAAAACATTCAGTAAATCAGCAATTTTTGACAGGCATTAAAGATTCTTCATAATTTTTTTCCAGATTCAGCATATTGTCTCTAATAAAAATCAGCCAGTTAAAAGAAACAGATTTCTTTTTGGTTTTTCCTCACTAAATGCTTTCACAAGTCCCTTCATAGAATCTCAGTTGAGATCACCCAATTATAAAAAAAAAAATTATGTTTTAAAAGTGATGTGATGGAATAACCTGCCACCCCCATGAGTGGTGGCACTATAGGTGGAAACAACCTATAAGTATCCGTGAAGACAGCGGACAGGAGAGTCGAGCTGGGATCTGCAAGAACTAGCGGTCTTCCGATAGCAACATGCACCCAACTGTACTGACTTGCAATGACCATGCACATAACAATTACTTCCTTGCTTGTTGTACTAGTTTCTACAATAAACCTGTTACTATTTATCCACCATGTTTATCCATTCCATATTCCTATTAGCACGGAATATAACAAAAAGCTAATTATCTGGGAAAAACATAAACAAGATCATAAATATATACTAGCTTAAAAGCCACCCTATTGGGCGACACTTAAGTTAGCCCCTGTGGAGGGATCTTGATTGGGCCTTCCTCACAATAGGTAGAAAGGAGTAGATGTGATAGGCAACAATAAACTACAGAAGAACTCAAAATTGATTACTGCATTTAAGTATTGCATTAATACTTAAGCTTACCTTTTAAAAGTTCAACAATAATTCTTCTGACACCACTTAATTTAAAGACAATTTGATGTACATAGATCTTTACTTTCTGCACAAACAATTATTTTTGTTTCATGAGTGGCTTTCACTTAATTTCATAATTAATTTTGATTATTCCCAAATTTATTTTCAAAGTTATAAGAATTGTTATTGTACAAAAAAATTGGATGTAAAAAATCACACAAAAAAATCATTGAAAACAATCACAGTAATGAAAAACTTGGGAATTCAAAATTTCAGGATTGCACGTCTGGATCCAGCCCAGAATGTTCTTAATTTGCTCACAGAGTTGGCCTGATTCAAAAATGGTATATGTTGGGCTATGCCCTTTAGGAGTAAAGTTGAAAAAGTGTGACACACTGACATTCACATTTATTATGTGTATATATATATATATATATATATATATATATTCTTTATATTATATATATTACTATATTCCTATGATCAAATCATACTGAAAACACTAGTTCTCTTCTGCTCACCGAAGTTAGGCAGCATCAAAACGGATCAGTATTTAGTTGAGGAACAGCATGGGAACACTTGATACTGTAATAAACAACCACCTAAAATCCGAAACGTTTCATCTTTAAATAACACGCAAAGAGTTGATACACTGTAAAAAAAAATCCATCAACTGTTGAAGTTACAAGTCAAGGTATAATTGTCATCGCTTTGTTGTCAGGGCTTAGGATACATCAATTACATCCCCATTTCCAAAGTAGCCAGCTTCCATGTTGATGGTATAAAACTGACAAATATTTTCTTTCTGACTTGAGTATGCACTGTACCAATTGTTTAACTTCTGATTTATAGACATGACTGTGAATTTATTGTGGTTTTTGTACTGTATTTGATATTAAAGTGAGCAGGAGTTATTACAATTTATGTTAAAAAACTGGCTGATCACATTCAGTACCTCAAACAAACCAAACTTGTAATGTTCTATCATTACCGGGCAGCTCTTGTATTTCCGTCTATCATAATCAACGTGTTCCCTTAAGGAGGTCCCTTGCCTTGATGAACGCCTATTTGAAGTCAAGCTCACCTCAGACCTCACATGCTATCCATCGCTAAAGATGCTGGGAAAAATGGTCAGTTCCTCAATCCAAGCTGTTATCCATTATGTCATCATGCCTCTAAAAATCTCACCAAGAGATTATATTTAATTCCTAATTCTGTTGTCTGCTGTAGATTGCAGCTCTCAGTAAAGGTTTGGATAAGAATTAAGTAAAAAAAAAAAACCATTAAAATGAAAATACTGATTGCAAATTAATGATGATTATCAATGATTTATCTTAAATAAACATTCCTTGGCATGGTATAATGATTAGTAGGTCTAGTAAGGATCACACCTTTTGATCAGTAGTCAACTGATTAATAGGTTTTATCCTCACTGGGTGCATCACACAAGATTTAGCATTAAACAACCGAACATATCATAAAATCAACTGACCTAATCTAACCAAAATTTAATAAATAATAAAATAAAAATGAAGAAAAAGTAAATATTGGGCAGAATTAATAATAAAGGCCGACAATATTTTATCAAATTAAAATTAAGATGAAAGTAAATACTAATAAAAAAAAGAATACATGTTGCCAACTTTTAATCTCATAAAAATAAAGGTCATATTACAAACTGTACTTTGATAAAATTTAACAATATTATATTTTGGTGAGGGGACAATGAGGAGGGCATACTGTATTTGCCAATGTAATTAGATTGGAAGCTGCATATCTTTGGACATCTAAGGAGGAAAAAAAGGCTTAGAGAATTTAGCATCCACAGGGCATACTGAAGACAAGAGAAACAGGAAAATATTAACCTGCCAAATTTGTACAAATGAATTGAGAAACAAGTAACACAAACAGAAGGATCATAAAGAAGAAAGTGTAAGAGAGACCATCAAAAGACAGGAAACTGTGGAGAGCCATGATCGCTCATGTCCTGAAGGGACAGATTGCATTTGTTTGATATATTGTGGGAAATATAAACTTTTGGAAAAAAAAAAAAAAAAAAAATTGACAATGTCTACCCAAAAATTAGCAAATTTATTTCATAGTTATATCGAGACTGGGTTTGAATATGTTTGAAGCCATTTAGGATTTAGGAATATTAATCCATTTTTTTTTTATTTCCCAGTCATAAAGAGTCAAGAAAAAGATGATCCTTGTTTATATGCTGCTTTTAATTCTATTTCCTTTTTTTCTAAGCTGCCTAAGCTGGTCTCATATAGCTTCTTTTTTTTTTTTTTTTTTTTTTTTTTCAGTTTATGATTAAAACTGCAGCCTCAAAGGGTCTGATTAAAATAAAAACTGAACAATAAAATATTTGCTTTGCGATTTTTAAAAAAAAAAAAAATTTTTTTTTTTTTTTTTGACATTTTTAATCAATCTTAATTAAATCAAGTTTTGTGAGTGAATCTTAATTGAATCATATTTTGCTAATGACTTCATTTTCTCTTCTGCATTGGCTTCCAGCCCTGAGGTATACGACGAATGAAGGAGAATGGAAAGATTCTGCAGCGAAATTAAAGAACCATCTTGGAAACATCAGGTAAGCCTATTTACACTCTCAAAAAATATCCATCATGAGATTTGAGATTCAACGGGGGGAAAGGGATTTTTTGCACATGCTTGCACGATTCCCCTTCTTAGTTTGCATCGTTCGGGACCTTTATCGTGCAAATATTGTTCCTCTTCGCACAAGAATTCACATTTAACTACCAGTTTCCATCATATAACGATTTTTCTCAAATCTGTCTATTTTTTCTAATTTATCTTCCATAACTGTTTACAAGGTACAACCGAGTCATTTGAACAGATTGATTGCTGTTTTTGTCTGTCAAGTTATTCAGTGTTTCTCACCTGATATTTTACTTGAAATCCTTCTGCTTGGAAATAAAGAACCTCATTTACTGAGGAATATGCCAATTGCAGACCCTCACCAAAAGGGTCCACTTAACAACTAAATGCTTACAGACAAATATAAACAGTTAGCATTTACCTATAGCCTCGTATACAAATCACGAATATTTACCTATCCTCGAACCAACTATATATATATATATATATATATATATATATATAAATCACATATAATTAAAAAAAAGAAGTGACTGGTTTCAGCATTAAATTACCCAACAAGGGTGGATATGGCGTAATATTTCTGAACCCTGCATTACTCTTTCTCTTTTACTTTCTTTTCCAACGGCTCTCTCCCATCGTGGGTGTGACGATAAACTACATCCGTGTCCTGGTTAAGACAATAAACTACATCCAAAAGCAAGGCTTCGGATCAGGAGGAATCATTGCTCTAGAGGTAATCGCAAGGTCATCTACAGTAAATTTGCACCCTGGCTTTTACAACATTTTACCATTCCTGGTAGATCTAAAATTCCCAGCACCCTCTGTCGTGTGCTTGTGTCATCTTTGCAACATAACAAATTTAGTCCGATAAAGTCCTGAAGGATGAAACACATCACTAGTGAACTGTTTCCACTGTTTCTTACAATTTTTCCAATACTGTTCTTGATATATAAAAATATATATCTTTATCTCATATATATATATATATATTGCCAAGGAAGGTATGCCAAAACACATTCTAAGCACCTATCCTAGGGCTCTTGGTGATGGGAGGTACCAAGGGAGATGGGATCAGGTACTTAAGAAATTGGCTGAAGTAGTGGCCGCAGCAGTCAGTGTTAGTAGTTACAAGCCTGTAATGAAGTCGCTGTATTTCGTGAAGGTCGGTGCCTCCCTCCTCCCAGTTTGTAAATCGTCAACTTGCATGCTCTCTACTGCCTAAGATTGGCAATTGCAAGTAGACCTCAGGAGTCAGTTGAAATTCTCAGAGCAGATAGCAACATCTTCCCTGCACCCAGATTTGATAATCTGGTCTATTGACGCCAGGCAAGTTGTAATGCTCGAACTTACAGTACCTTGGGAAGAGAATTTAGAAGAGGTCTTTAAAAGAAATCTGGAAAAATACCAGGAGCTGGTAGAGAAATGCAGGTGTAACCAATGGTGGACTACCTGTCTTCTGGTTGAAGTTGGATGCCGTGGTTTTGCAAGAAGATCTTTATTCAGAACTCTAAATCAACATGGAGTCAGGGGAATAAAAAAGAGAAAGGCCATCAGAAGAATTTCAGAATTTGCAGAGAAAGCCTCAAAATGATTAAAAGATCAGATCCATGAGGCTCTATGATGGAGATTGGTGGGCATTGAGGTGCTGTTTGAGTTGGAAGAAATAAATATATAAAGAGACGACTATGGTCGCTGTTTGAGGGGAGGGTCTTTTTTTTTTTTTGTTTAGTTTGTTTTCTTCTTCCTTGACAATGTCTTGGTATTTCTAGCACAGGCAGGGAATTTTTTTAAAGCTGTCTCACAAGAAAAATCGTTTCTGATCATAATTCCTACTACCAGTGTATGTGTATGACGGTGATTTTTCTTTTTGTTTTTATGTGAAATATCATTTCATAGGAGATAAAAACTTGCCTGGCGACAAGTAGAAATTACTTACCTGTTATGTCGAGCAGTGTTCATTGAAAGTGTGGGTCCTTCTGCATGTTGGACCTAAGAGGGAAAAGACGAGCATTTGTTCTCCTTTCGTCTCGTCATGGCTGAGGAGGAAGTGAAGTAGCTTGTTTCTGATTGGTCACTTGCTATTTCAAGATCGGCAGTGGCAATTGTAGCAACTAATTCTTTTTTTTTTTTTTTTTGACTAAAAGTGTGTGTTTGTTTACCATGTAGACAATGCATTAAATAAAATATCCAAAAAGGATTTAACACAGGAATGTCTTTAAAATTTTTGAATTTCATTTAACCACACAACATTTTGATTTTGTTTATCATCACTAGCCTTGATAATGACACATGACAAAACACGTTGACAAGGACTAAGTACTATTTTCTGATTATCTATTTTATTCAGTTTGTCTTCTCCATAGATTTATTCTGAGAACTTTAACACACACACACACACACACACACACACACACATATATGCATACACAATGTGTGATGTGTAAATTGTCGCTATTTTATGTATTGTGTTGTTTGTTTTTGATTTTTTTCAACTACACAGTATAGTAGAGTCACTTGGGCAGCATCTGTGAGAAAAAGAGCACCATGATGCAATTTACTCTACCAGAAATTTAGTAATGGCATTCTGTCCTGCTTGGCATTCGCATCAGAATCTCCAATCTGAACATTTCAGAGTGTTTTGGTGTCAATCTGAGGACAGTGCAGAGGATTCAGAAATAGTTGGATGATATGTCCAGTCAACATCATGGTGTTTGGAGTAATCGCTAGTGATGGTGACATTATGCCTCAACTCATCTGCCCACAGGGCCTCAAACTTAACACAGCAGCCTGCATCAAGTGCCTTGTGGAGATAGGGCTGCTCTGGGTGAAGAGGGTGGCAGATGGAAGATCCTATGTCTGGAAACAGGACTCTGCACCATACCACACAAGTACTGTAATCTCCTTGATGATTATGTGTGGGATGCGATTGAGTGAAACAAAACTCCTTGTGACACCAAAGATGTACTGAAGGCAAGGATTATGGAAGCATTCACTATCCACAGGAGCAAAGTTCAACAGAGAGAAATAGATAGAACTTATATATATATATATATATATATATATAAGCGACTGTTGCTATATTGAGTCTGATTTGCTACCTCTTTGTCATCGAGGCCCGTTGGTATGACGTTTGCTTGATAACCTAACTGTCCGGGTTTCATTTCTCGGTAGTGGATGTACGACTGCTGATGAGTCCCAAATATAGGATGAAACGGCCGTCCAGTGCTTATTGCATTCTGTTGAGGTTTCTTTCAGACTCAATGAATTACTTAATTATATATATATATATATATATATATATATATATATATATATATATATATATATATATATATATTTGGTTGATAGATGAGTTTGTATATATCCAACCAAATATGTTAGCTCTATCTCTGATATTGACCGCTTTCTAATAACTAAGATATAATATATAAATAATTATACATATATATATTTATTTATATTTATATACACTTTTCACACACATATATATATATATATATATATATATATATATAATTGTGTGTGTGCGTGTGTAATTTAGTTGATAGTTTCCGGCGCAGAGCATGGATTCGGCAAAGCAGTGTTTGAATTTTTGGCAGAAGTTGCTCATGTTCACTTTACACAAATCCGTTTCAGAAGGGCATGAATCTTCTTGTTGCTGCAATCTAAGTGCTAGAAATCTTAATGAAAACATCTTGTCAGTGGTATGACATAATAGTTAATGGATGGAAGAGTATGTGGGTAAATGAGTACTTCATCAAATCACTCTCCTATAATTAACCTCCGAATGTTGTTGCACTCATTGTTAACCTTGACAGAGGCCAGTATATGTACCTACTCTTGTATTTCCAACTCACTCAGAAATTGATGCTTTTATTATTTTTAACACAATGTTTCCTTGAAATATATACAGTCATACACTTGTGTACCTGGAGATTAAATTAAGTGTGCTGCAAATGACTAAAATTTTTATCAAAACTAAAATTAAAATTCAGAATAAATTTCATATATAATTGTCAGCTAGAAGTGAAGACAACTCTACTTACAGTGTTGTTTGGTTATAGAATGGCTAAACAATTAAAGTACGAGAGCGGTCAGTGTAAGGGTGTCTGCAGCGTTCCATTTAATGGAGAAAGAAGAAATACTTCTGAAATTTTTAATTATCTATTATTTTTATTAGCTCCGATAATATATATATATATATATATATATATATATATATATATATATATATATATATTTTCTTCGGCGCCGAAGTATTTTTACATATTTACCAGAAACTTGTTAACAAGTAAATGACTTAATATACAAAATATCTGCCACATTTCAAGGGAGGTAACCCAGTGTAATATAAACAGGAGTTATGCCCCATGATTTCATTATTTTATTTTTTTAATTTTTTTTTTTTTAACAAAGCGTAATAGAAAATCTCATGTCGGCCACAAAGATTCACCTGTATGTGATGGAATATCTGAAGGAGTAGAGCGGGCAGCGTTTGGTTTGTAAAGAAGAAAAAAATGCCATAAAACTAAGAAATTAAAAATGTTAACATGATAAATTGTGCAAATATATCCCATTTTTGGTATTAACATCTTTCTTTCCTGTATGGCACTGAATGCTGGACAATCTCATCATAGATGAAGAAGTGATTTGAAGTAACGTAGTTCTACAGAAGGATGCTGAAGATACTTTGGACTGAGCGTGAGTGCAACAACAAAGTTTTTGAGAAAAATGGAAACAAACAGGACATTTATACTTAATATCAGAAAGAGATTGTTGAAATTTCTAGGGTAGACAAAAAGGAAAGAAGGCTGAGAAAATTTGATACTCACAGGTAATATTGAATGCAAAAAGGACAGAGGAAAGTAGTGTATAATCTACCTAATTAGCTTGTGTAAATGGTTGGCAAAACAAGCATTAGAAGAGATAGTGAAAAGACAAAATTTACTATAGAGCTACAAGGGACAGGAAATTATGATCTCCCATGTTCTGAAGAGACACATAGAAGAATGAAAATATGGAACATGAAAGCAATTGTAGATAAGAAAGTAATTGAACATAGTTGGGATCATCGATTCAATGCGGACTATTCTTTCCTTAGCTGCATAGTATATGCAATATATGGTTTTAAATTCAGTTTTCCTTCTCCTAGACTTGTAACCATCAAAGCTATAGAACCCTCTCTGTCCTGCTATTTACCCATAGCTGGGGGGGGAGAAGTGTTGCATTCATAACTTTTCACAAAGGTATTAAGACATAAGTGAATGTAATAAACCTAACTGGAATTTGAACTCAGCTCTCCAATTCCTCACTCTATTACTCTACTATGCCTGCTGCAAATAATAAAATTTCAAAAAAATGTATAAGCATTCCTTATGTGTTCCTGTTTGGCCATATGTGATATTTGTAAAAGTGCTGAATGCATCCACTGCCTTAACCGGGTATTGAACTCACACTCTTTGGGTCTTGTCACTGGATTTAACTAACACCTTTATCCACTGTGCCATGTGTCCTTGAGGTCGCATGACACAGTAGATAAAGGCATTGGTTAGATTCAGTAACAGGACCCAAACAGTGTGAGTTCAATTCCTGGTTAAGGCAGTGGAGAACTTATAGAGGAGAACTAACAGAAGATAACTGATATCCATTAAACATGGCATGTGGAACTAGAACAGTCTACCCCAGTGAGCAAAATAAAGGGTTCAGTTTGACATTCCAAACACCTAAAGAAGGCCAGAGCGTACAATGACCGAAAAGTTGTAATAAATATGGCGACAAAGATGAGGACAATAGTTCAAATAATGTAAATAATGTGCTGAATGCACATTAGTGAAACATGTCTTCCAGAAACTAAGCAAAGTATTAAGAAACTGGAAAATTTTGTACAAAACAAAGAAAAGAGTACTGAACTGTTATAACATGTCAGTTCCCCTGTGTAGCAGTGAATGCTAGATAATTTCCGCATAGATGAAGATGAGAGATGTGACTCTACAGATGCGACTACTGCAGACGTAGCATGGGAGCAAGGTGGAAGTTTTAAAGAAAATAGAATTAAAAAGGAGTGCCATGATAATCCACCTCCTTGGAGTTTAGAGAATTTGACACTCACAGTGCATATTGAAGTTTATGAGAGGCAGAAGGAAACATCAGATAACCTACCTAATGCGCTTATATAAATGGGTGAGAAAATAGGCACTGGTAGGAATGGTAAGGGGACAAATATTGCTTAGAATTAAAAAGGAGTGCCATGATAATCCACCTCCTGAATAGACATAGAAGAAATTCTATGAATGCATGTGGTTGGGATGTTGAGTTTAAATTCTGGCTGAGATTGGTGCATTCACTTTCACACAAGTAGCCTTAGGAAAGATATCAGTCCATTTCACCTCTCTTCAGATTTGGGCTAAAAACAGGGCAAACTAGATTCTCTAGCCTGGCTTGACAACCAGTCTAGGAGAAGCACAACACTGAATGCTATTTGCCACCTTGCAACCCCACTCTCTCACAGACAGGATATGGCAAGCCTCTCACTGCTCTATTTTTGCTTCCATCAAAAGCGTTTGGACAAACTACATTCTTTGGTTGTGACAGTTCTAACCATCATGGCTAGAGCCTGCCATCCCACTCGCATTGAAGCAAACCAACCTCGTTCCTTCTGTATTCCACTGGTGAGAAATAAGTTCCACTTGAGCAGTTTGTTCCTGCAAATTATTGCTCTGTGGAATCGACTCCGAGGAGGATGTTTCCACAATCACTACAATCTTAACCTGTTGAAGTCCGGGTTAACCGTTACCTTCCCAACTTATCTGCATAGATTGTGCCACTTACTCTATAACCCTTTACCTTGAGAGAACCACACTGTAAAAAGAAAAAAAAAATCCCATGGTGGCAACGAAACTAACACAACAGCTTGCCTTCCGAGCCAGCATGGTAGAGACATTTAATAGAAACTGAATTGCCACCTGACAGTCTGGTCAGTCAATGTGCTCATGTTGTAAAATACATGTGGGACATTTGCGCAAAGGTGTACTTTACATATTCTTTGATCAATTATCAAGTTTTATTGATTATTAAAATAAATCAAAATTCAGTAAAATTTGTTTGGCACAACTAAATGGAGAATTGCTGTAACGATGTGTTTGTTTAGAGTCTCAAATGGCTCCAATTATTCTACATTCAGTGTGGTTACTACCAAAAATATTTGGAAAATACTGACTTAAAGATTCCCACTTGAAAATTTTGGCTACAGTAACAACTAGGTCATCCCCTTGGGAAGCTGCCCTTTCATGGAATATTGCTGTCATATATGGTCTGGAACCCCCACTGTTCGCCTTAGGGTCCTCGACAAAAAATCCAGATACGGATATGCAATGTGGTTGGCCCTGATCTGGCATCTCGTTTACCGTCACTTTCTCACAGATGTGCCGTTGCTTCCCTTTGTCTTTTCTACAAATACTTTCATGGTAACTGCTCCAACAGAAAATTTTGGTTTGTTAATTTTTTTTAGCAACATATCAACATCTATGTGTTATTTAATGCCAAAATCTAAATATTTTATAGACTGTTTTAGGGCTTCAGTATGGAACACAGGTTGTGATCAATAAATTGTCACCAGTTCATATTTTTAATTTTGCAGGGTCGAAACGTTGTGATAAACATGGTGACAAAGATGAGGAAAATAGTCTGAATAATGTAAATAGTGTACATAATACCTCATCTCAGAAATATACACAGATACCATATTTTTTGTTATTGATATCTTGAGAATATTATGTAACTATTTTCCAGAATTTATAATAAATTCTTTCGAGTTGAATGTGGATCAATTAATTGTGGATTGTGTCCCCAAATTTATGATGTGGTTTGAATCGATTCCTCATCTTTTTTTTTCAAATTCCTGCCACTTTTTTTTCTTCTTTTCAATTTCCTTTTCTCATTTCAGGGCCATTATTAATCATTTCACCCCAAAGGTTGACTCATGGGCAGCACAGAACCATTTGTCATCTCTCACAGAAGAACAGGTTTGTGTGGGCAAATAGTTTTATTTTTTATTTTCATTTTATCCAATATAAATTATCACTAATATATATAATTTTAAAGGGTTGTTTTTTTTTTTTTTTATTTGATGCGTGTGTCTTGATTTTTGAATGGGTAACAGTAATCCTGTGTCTGTATATATGAGCATATGGATGTGTATATATATATATATATATTCATCCACAGACTATTCAATGTATCACAGCTCATCAGTGTGACTAGACGACCGATTGCCTCTAACTACGATTGAAACCTGACTGAATTGGCATCAGTTGGAGATTCTACCCCTAAGCTGTTGGTGCACAGCAGGGATGAAGGTGAATTTAAACGTATTTATTTTAGAGAAACATGCCAGTGACTGATAGAACTTGATTTGCTTCACCTGCATTATTATCCATAATAGTCACTGTTTACGAACTCACACTTACTTCCCAGAGAGATCAACCAAAATAAATTTTTCAGGAGCATATATATATATATATATATATATATATATATATATAAATGCATGTTTCATTAAATAATACAGACAAGTTTTGTCTGTTTATTTTAAGCAAGTTCCTTTCATATTGTCTGATAAGCTTAATCACATTATTGTTGAAAGACGAAAGGAAAACACCATATTGATACATGTTTAAATCCAATCTAGGCTTTTGGCTTGCATAAGCCATTATCAACAATAATACACAGATGAAACAATAATGATAGTCCGCCCTTGCTGCATGAAAAATTTCAAAGCACCAACAAACTTGTGTACGCAAGACACAGAAGCGAAAATCCCATTGCAGCTTGTGATGTCACACATGACAACACAAGAGTGAAAACTAGAAGTATTATGTATGGGAAGCCGTTGGTATAAACCAATGACTTCTGTTATAAATTATAGGCATTTAAGAATATTTGTGGAGGTTTCATAGTTTATTTTGTTCAGGTAAGGTTTATATGTGTGTGTGTCTGTATATATATATATATATATATATATATATATATATATATATAATATGTTATCATTCATAGGCCCACCCCACTCATAAATATGGGATTAATGTTTGATCATTAGTTTTGTGTTAAATCAACAATAATGGGAATAATTTTTTTCTCAAGATAATCCATATTCAAATCTGGAATACTCATCACTGGGTCTTGTAAAATCCATAATGGTTTCTACATTGTTGAAATATTTGAAAATTTGACAATGACAGTCGTTTTTTATTCTCATTTATTTACATTTTATTATAAGCATAAATCTGAAATCACTTGGAAGCGGAAAAACATGAAACAGGAAACTGTTTCTTCCATCCAATCTAAATGAGATTTTCTCTCCAGTTTTGTAATATACATGTGTATGTGTGTGTATAATATATATATATATACACAACTAAATAAATTACAAACATTATGACTGCTTATTTTTAGCATAATCTGTTCGTATTCCCAGATATTTTGCAATGTATTACAATCAAATGATGCAAGAAATTCATTCTAACAGTGAAAATCATTTTTTATTTCGCAAGTACTTTCCATCTCTCTCTGCGATCATCATCAGAGCTGCAACAGGTAAGGCGAAAACTATGTGTAGCTATCCATTACTGAATTTTTTCTTTTTACATTTAAATGCACTGGCTGACAGTTATGATTTAGAGTTCATTAGAATGTCAAAAAATAATCCACTATGGATTTTTTTCTTTTATGTTAGAATGTTATGGTCAAGCACACATTAAAGCATGAAAACTGTTCTTTTTATAGGCATTTTAGAACATTATTCCAGTATTCATAGCTGATTCTATTCAGTGTCGGCTTCAGTTTTTTAATGGAGATTGCATCTCAGAAAGAGATGGAAAGTACTTGGGAAATAAAAGTGATTTTCACTGTTCTAGTGCATTTCTTGCATCATTTGATTGTAAAACACAGAAAAATATCCGTGAATATGAACGGATTATATTAAAAATAAGCAGTCATGATGTTTGTAATTTATTTAGTCAAACATGCCTAAAAGAGAATTTGCTGCCTAAATACACATCTGTGTGTGTGTGTGTGTATATAGTTGTGTGTGTATGCAAAAGTTCTGTTTCATTCTGAAAATTTTGCACATTGTGTGTGTGTGTGTGTGTGTATATATATATATATATATATACACACACACACACACACACACACACACACACACTTGCACATACATACAGAAGTTTGAGGCATATTCTTTTGGTTTAATAAAAGAACATCTGCCAATAATGTATATTGGAAGTTTAATCATATTTCAGAATATTTGTAATACACAACATAAATTAAAAATGTATCCATACACTTACCCATCTGTAAGCAGCTGCTAATATTTCTGCTTTGAAATTAATATTCCTTTAAAAATAATTTAAAAGAAAGTTACTATTCTTTTAAAAATAATTAAAAAGAATAGCATGTGTCTATTCAATATGTCTGATTTGTACAAGAAAATTTTCTTATATGTAGCTTTTTTTTTAATTTGATATTCTGTTCAAAATAATTAGGCATCTGGTCACTTAAGAAGCGCCTTTCCTTTGATTTGCTGTGTCCCTTAAATATTTGGGCTTGTTCAGTGATTGTTGTTTTTTTCCAGCAGGGATCAAAATGAGGACTGTTTTTAATTTCTTTTTCTTTAGGTACTTGAAGTTGTTCGTAACAATTATGATACCCTCACACTGAAATTACAAGACAGTTTGGATCAGTTTGAAAGATATTCAGAAAAACCACGAGAAACTTCTTTCTTTACGCAACTGGTTAGTATTTATGTGAATTTAGCATTTATTTTCTTGTACCGCATACATTGTGTTGTTGTGTTAGTACGTTGTGTAAGTGAGGTGAATAAAGAAAACAGCAACCAGTGAGTAAATTCAAGCTCTCCCAACTGGTATTTCAACCTTGAGTCGTCCCTTCTTGAGTTCTGTCTCAAAATCACACTAACTGACTGTTCTTGCCGCCAACCGTGAACGTCACTCGAAGAACTGCCCGACTGGGAAAAAAGTGGTTGCTTTTATATTTGTTCATATACCCATAATCCCTTGTGTCTTCATGTGATCCCATAATTCATTGCGTCCATGTCCCATAATGCATTGCATCTTTATTGCATAAAAATGCATTGCAAGTCCCCCCTCATTCTTTTACGTTATCTGGCCGATGACGGATTATGGCAGAGCGGTAAGTGCTTTTTTTCTCCCTCATTTCAACTGCAGTAGCTTTACATGCTAAGCAAATATGGGCTTTTTTTTGGCGGGGACAAGGCAAGTTGCGACCAGTTGTGCTCGTCCCAGGTTTTGTCTCATGTCCGCCACAGTAAGTAAGCTTTTTTGGGAACTTCTTTCCCCTCAGTAATGTCTGGGGTAATGTGGACACCATGCAAGAAGGGTCATTCACTGTTTGCATTTCCCCTCATTATAACCGCCCGCATATGGGTGTTAGCATCATTATCCTCTCTCTTTATTCCCTTTAACCCCTCTGCTGGTGGTCGCTGAGATGGCAGGGAAGTCCCAGCCTAATCCTGAAAGAGAGTTTGGTTATGGGGCCATTCATGGGAATTTGATTTTGGTGGACAACTCCGCGTGACGGAGAAGCCCACACCTCACAGCTCAAAGGCAGGTGAGATCTGGTAAACATGCTTTTGTCTGTCAAGGTCTGTCTTGGTTATGACAGCCTGACTGGTGCTGCCCTCTTCTGCTGGATTGGGTGTTGAGATTGTGTAGATCTTTGCCTATTCCGCCATTTGGATATTTGGTCACATTCAGTCGGGCCCCTCCTCCTCGACCTTAATGCCATGGCTGGCCCTATAGGAGTTGAAACTCCAGATAGCTTTGCTCTTGGGATCACTGGGAAACACAAGCCCTCTCCCATGACAAGGAATGACCATATATATATTTTAGACTGGATGTTGGAGTGAACAGTTCATTATCAAATGTATCATTTTGACTTTAATGACAATAATAGAAATCGATCAATATAGACGATATTACATAAAAAGGATTTTTTTTATACTGCTATATACATAGTTATCACTAATTTGTCCCACACTAAGGCTTTTTAGGCTTTCTTTTTTGTTTCTTTTTCATTTTCTACTTCTTGCTTTTTTATTGCTTTTGGCAAAAAGTGAGAGGCTCTTGTAATTATTTTACAACTGGAAAATCAGGTAGCTTGTGATGTCCTCTACGTGCCAAACGAGACCATGTGGTTTTCCCTTTGTGCTCTATCAGTGTGGAGGTTTGTAATATCTGTCTTCTTGGCAAACTACATATCTAGGTGTGATACATAGCAACTGGCCTATGCAGACACATCTTGCCTCTAGGCATGATGCATAGCAGCTGGCCTATGCAGACATGTCTTGCCTCTCAGCGTGATGCATAGCAACTGGCCTATGCAGACACATCTTGACTCTAGGCTTGATACATAGCAATTGGCCTATGTAGACATATCTTGCCTCAGGGCAGGAATAAATACCAATTATCATTCAACCCTATGAACTAATGTCACTCACTGGCTCTCTTGTGACTTCATTTCACCCAAAGGAAAATAATTGTTCTTTGTACCCCTACAATTGTTTTTTTTTTTTCTCAATTGACATCACCCCAACCAAGGCAGTAACGCCACTAATGCACAAGTGGTTCCTGGGTGTGGAAAAATTAGGGAACAAAAAACATTACAAAGGAGTGAGAACAAAAGTAAAGCAATCAGGACAGTAGATAGTGATTGACATTGCATTTAAATTTTTGAAGATTAAAGATGACTGGAAAGGATGGAGCTGGAAGGAAGTTCCACAAGCAAGAAGTGCATGAAGAAAAAAATGTTTCTATCTATCCAGGTATCAACTAATTTCTGCTTTTATTACAATGCATGAGCCAAACTATTACATTTTGAAGTTCATTTGTCATTTAATTGCCATTGAAAAAAATCTGAGTTCATTTCTCCCTCTTCTGCCGTTTCACCAACATTTTATTGATTTGTTTTTTTCTTTTTTACTCTTTTTCAAGGTTCGGTCCATTACGTGTGATGTACGCAAGAGTGTCACCAATTTACCACCAATCCAACAGGAGGATCTTTTGCATGAATATCCCATGATTTCCTGATGGCTGTACCAATTGGGCGATCTTTCTCTGGTTTTATCGTCTGGCTGCTCTTCAGGAGATGAACGTCTTTGGGCTTTCTCTTGGTTGCGTCGAGGGCAGCTGAAAATTGTCAATGCCCAACACTTGATCATTCTTGGGGTGACAGTGACAAGGACCGATTGTTATTTATTTCTTTCTGTTTGGACAAAGAATTGTGCAAGACACTCACTTGTCTTCTCTTGTCTGCCTTCTTCTCTTCCTTCTTTTCTTCTTATTTTAAGAAATCAATCTGTATATGAAAGATGTCTGGAAAATAAATTTTACTGTCCAGAAATTGCAATTTACAATTATAAAAAAAAAAATCAACAAAATATTGTTGCTGTTATTAACATTTTGATTTTCCTATTTGCTTTTTTTATACAGTGTAACCCGGATATAAGAGAGATTTTCTCTGGTCTCAAATTAGAGCCCGTGTTAATGTATATAAGATAGACCAAACCCTGGATATAAGAGACTTCTTCTCCAGTCCCGACAACTCTCTTATATCCGGGTTACACTGTATATTTTTGGTTTGTTTATTTTGGGTTTTTTTTTTTTTTTTTGGCTTTTAGTTTCTTTCTTGAAGTTTTTGCATTTATTTTATTTTTCCTTACATTTTTGTTTTTATGTCTTTTTTTTATGTTTTTCTTGCATTTCTTGTTTTTATTTCCTTTTGTTTCTTTTTAATTTTCTAATATTTTCCTTATTTTGCTTTTATTTTTTTGCTCTTTTCTTTTGCTTTTATTTTTTGCTCTTTTCTTTTGCTTTTATTTTTTGCTTTTATTTTTTTGCTCTTTTCTTTTGCTTTTATTTTTTGTTCTTTTCTTTTGCTTTTCTTTTTTCTTTTTCTTTTTTGCTCTTTTCTTTTGCTTTTATTTTTTGCTCTTTTCTTTTGCTTTTATTTTTTGCTCTTTTCTTTTGCTTTTATTTTTTGCTTTTATTTTTTTCTTTTTCTTTTTTGCTCTTTTCTTTTGCTTTTATTTTTTTGCTCTTTTGCTTTTATTTTTTTGCTCTTATTTTTTTGCTCTTTTCTTTTGCTTCTATTTTTTCTTTTTTGCTCTTTTCTTTTGCTTTTATTTTTTTGCTCTTTTGCTTTTATTTTTTGGCTCTTTTCTTTTGCTTTTTTTTTTTTGGCTCTTTTCTTTTTGCTTTTATTTTTTGCTTTTTCTTTTTTTTTATTTTTTCTCTTTTCTTTTGCTTTTATTTTTTTGCTTTTATTTTTTTTCTTTTCTTTTTTTGCTTTTATTTTTTGCTTTTATGTTTTTTGCTTTTTTTTTTTTTTTGCTTTTATGTTTTTGCTTTTCTTTTTCTTTTTTTCTCTTTTCTTTTGCTTTTATTTTTTTGCTCTTTTCTTTTGCTTTTATTTTTTTGCTCTTTTCTTTTGCTTTTATTTTTTTGCTCTTTTCTTTTGCTTTTATTTTTTGCTCTTTTCTTTTGCTTTTATTTTTTGGCTCTTTTCTTTTTTGCTCTTTTCTTTTGCTTTTATTTTTTTGCTCTTTTTTGCTTTTATGTTTTTGCTTTTCTTTTTCTTTTTTGCTCTTTTCTTTTGCTTTTATTTTTTGGCTCTTTTGCTTTTATTTTTTTGCTCTTTTCTTTTGCTTTTATTTTTTGCTTTTATTTTTTCTTTTTCATTTTTGCTCTTTTCTTTTGCTTTTATTTTTTTGCTCTTTTGCTTTTATTTTTTGCTTTTTCTTTTTTGCTCTTTTCTTTTGCTTCTATTTTTTCTTTTTTGCTCTTTTCTTTTGCTTTTATTTTTTTGCTCTTTTCTTTTACTTTAATTTTTTGCAATTTTGCTTTTATTTTTTACGCATGTTTCGACTTTTTGCATTTTTTCACGTTATCACATCTTTTTAATTTAATTTTTTTTTTTTTTGCGTATGCATATCTTTGTTCGTTTATTTCTTAAAAGTACAAAATAGATCATCTCAACTTCTGGCGATGTGAAAAGAGAACGATTTGAAAGCGAGCCGGCTAAGACATGATCAAAACTGCAAAGACAATGATACTATTCTTCAGACAACAAGACTGATCAGAGAGCTTGTGGTCAAAAACAACTAAAACAACAAAGATGAAGATGCTAGATTTTTTTTTTTTTTTTAAAGACAACAAAACTGAGAAAACTAGTCTGAAAAATCAATGTGTAATAGAAACGACACTTTCTCTTAGAAATATAAACAGGAAATAAAACCTGGAGAACAAAGTGCTTGAAATCATTTGCAAAAAAAGGGCCAGAAAACTTGATCAATGTATAATAAGAAGAAATAAATGTATATTCAACTTTGACAGGATATCCACACAAAGTTGTTTATTAAGGGATAAGAAGCACATAGATCATGCTATATCTCCCCTTTTGTAAATCGGGTAGATTGGAGCTCAAATTTCTGATTTTATTTTGACCAAAAACACCAACATCCGTCATGAGTGCAAACACACAACTGTTTCAGCCAGAAGGTAGACTAGAAATTTTAGAGTAATATTGTATATTTCCTCATAGTCTGAAACAATACTCAACATAATGGGGTAATCAGGGATGATTGAACTCACTACAGCAATGCCTTCTCCCCCAGCTATGGGTTAAATAGTAGGACTTTAATCAATACATCTGTATTATCTCCAAAAACATTCTTATAATCCAAAAGTATTTTCTGGCTTCAATTAGCCTGCAGAGGTTGATAAACCATAAAAAAAACCCAAGTCAATCAAAATCGGCAATAACAGTTAATAAGGTACAGAAACGTGTTGGGAATACCATAGATGGAGCATGTAAACAATGAGCATGTATTAATGAATATGAAAGTATAAGGGACTGAGAATACCATGGAGTGAACATGTATTCTAAGAGGAAGTTTTAAAGGAAATGGAAACAAAAAGGACACTTAACATCAAATGTTGAAATACATAGGGCATATAATGAGGAAAGAGGGCTTGGAAAAATTGACACTGACAAGACAGATTGACGGCAAGTGGGATGGCACATAACCTACCTACCGAGCTCTTGTAAATGGTTGGCAAAACAGATTAGGATTGTGAAATGACAAAATTTGCTAAGAGCTACAAAGGGTAGGAAATTGTGGAGAGCCATGATCGCCAATGTCATGAAGAAAGAAGGGCCTTGTGTCAAAGTAATCTTGGACTTAAGATTATAGACTGAAGTTTGTGCCGCTGTTAGAAGCCATCCTCTTTAGAGCAGTACAAATCGTATCAAAATTGAAAATGGAACTAAAATCAATCTCTATCTATAAAAGGCAGGATGTGTGTGTCAGTGAGTAACGAATGCACGGCCGCAATTTTCGACGGATTTGCACCAAAATTTACATGCACATGCTCCAAGTTAGCGGGAAGGACAAGACCGACATTGCATTTCCCAACTCTCATCGATAGTGGAAATAATCGATTTTTACATGCTTCTACGGCAGTTTTCATGTAGTTTGCGGCCATTTTCTACTAGCCAGAGTGAGAGCCTATAGCTGACTGCCACGAATAAGCAGGAAGATTCTATTGGCCAGCGTGAGAGCCAACAGGTGACTGACACGAATATTAAATAGCATGCAAAAAAATCGATAGCTGCATTCGTCACAAGTGGGAAAAATTTAAATCTGCATGGCACTTTATGCCAATTGGCTCATTCGCTTGCTTAAACTCAATGTTGATTCTGATTCCGCAGAATTGGGTTGGGTGTGAAAAAGTATTTGTTGTTAACATTCTTTTTTCATTCGGTTTTTCCAGTTACGAGTCCTTTTTTTAAAGCTGATTGTTTTGTGTTCATTTTGTTTAGTTCTTTTTTCGTAACAGATTTAATGTTTAGTATAGAGCTTAGAAAAAATTCGCAGTGTGAGATAGGCAAGAAGTAAGGCATGTAGCAAAGGGCACTCGTTTAAAGGCAAGGAAGGGCAAAAATATTTTAAGACAAGTGATAGCGATTGCTGCATGAGTCGTACGATTTTTGAATCAAGCACGGGCAACGCCGGGCCATGCTGCTAATTCATGCTAAAAATTGGTTGGCAGACAGATTATTTAAGAGAAGTTTCTGGAGTTAAGCCCCCCCGCAAAAAAAAAAAAAATTAATCATTTACAAAATGAATAACTCCTTTCAAAGAAGGATTTGAAAATAACAACAGGATTGGTAACTACCAAAATTAGTTTGTATGGAAAAAGAAATAATTTAGTGCTGCCATTTTGGTTCATCCCGCAGAATTGTATCTGAAAAATGAAAGTAGATGAACGGGTGAGGTCTCACGGAGGCACCGTGCCTTGAGCGCCTGTGGGGATTTAAGCTCAACCCACACCTTAAGTGAAATTCATATATACAAGATGCTGAAAAAAATGGCCAGTTCTTTGTATTGCTCCAGTTCGCCTATCGCCCAGTTCACACTTCTTCCTTATCTTTCGAACAAGAGTAAAGATTTATCCGTTGTTTCATGTTTAGGATTGGGTTTCTGGTTCTTTCTCCTAAAGCCCTCTCATTCTCTTTCACCCCCAGTACCCCCTTGCATCAAAGTGGAATTATTGCCTTGTTGGTGGTGAAATGATTTTAAAGAAGAAAAGAAGTACCTGATTCCTTCTGCTAGGCTCTACATTGACAAGAGTCAGATCAGGCCGAAAATAGAATAGCACTGTGCCACATGTAGGCAGGAGATATCTTCATTTTCCAGGCTTGATAGTGTTCAAAATAATCTCTGAGTCTTGTAGGTGGTGAATAATTCTCCACCCTACAATCCCTGTCTCAGAGATTAAATTTTGCAAGCCTCTAGCTACTCTATCACACCTGGAGTTAGTTATTAGAATTTTTAAGGAGAACTTGCCTAAATTACTGTATTGTGGTCATATACTACTGTTCCAAGAAATTCGTTAAACAAGCAATCAACAACACGTGTTTCATTGTTTTTTTTTTTAAACGCCTTGTCAGTGTTGGTGGATGAAATTGGGGAAATATTCACTTGGACACACTGAGGTTAACAACAGCCAGTATTTGCAGTGAGAATCCACTTTTATTTTCCCAACAGCAGTTCCGGTGGTGGTGGGTGGGCAGTGCATATAACACCTGCTCGACTTTGCAACTGACGACCACTCTTTGGCAGTCTGACAACACACTCTGTACAAATGAAGAACACCATCTTCTCACACGTCTTCTATATAATAAATGCGAATGTCAGTGTGTCACACCTTTTCAGCGTTACTCCTAGAGGCCGTAGCCCAACATATCATACCATTTTGGAATCAGGCTGATCCTATGAGCAAATCAGAAACATACTGGGTCGGATCTAGACCTGCAATCCCGTAATTTTGAATTCCCATGTTTTCATTACTGTGATTGTTTTTGGCAATTTTTTTTTTATGTGATTTTTTTGTGACAGATTTTTTTGTACAGTAACAATTTTTTATAAGTTGGAAATAAATTTGGGAACGATCAAAATTAAAGGCGAAATTCGGGGAAAGTCATCCATAAAATAAAAATTGTACGGAAAGTAAGGACCTACATACATCAAATTGTTTTTAAATTAAATGGCAGCAGAAGAATTATCATTGAGCTTTTAAAAAGTAAGCTTAAATATTAATGCAATACTTAAAGGCAGCGATCTATTTTGAGTTTTGTAGTTTACTGTTGCCTATCACATCTCCTTCCTATTATGTTAAATGATGCCCGATAGTTTGTTATATATCTGTGGTCACGCTACCTAAATAATGGAACATTTAATTTTTGTACCATCCGCATACGTGTAGATTAAAATGAACAACAGTATTATTTACTCTACTTAAATTAAACAGGTGACCTAATGACTATAGTGTCATTTTTATCTGAGTTTACTTCAATTGAGTCAGCAACTCTATTACTTCAGACAATAAGTCTCATCCCAGGCTGCCATGCAATGTTACGTACTAATCTGATACTGCTGAAACAACACTATATTTCCTCATAGTCTGAAACATAATGGGGTAATCAGGGATGATTGAACTCACCACAGCAATGCCTTCTCCCCCAGCTATAGGTTAAATAGTAGGACTTTTATCAATACATCTGTATTATCTTCAAAAACATTCTTATAATCCAAAAGTATTTTCTGGCTTCAATTAGCCTGCAAAGGTTGATAAACCATAAAAAACCCCAAGTCACTCAAAATCGGCAATAACAGTTAATAAGGTACAGAAAGTGTTGGGAATACCATAGATGGAGCATGTAAACAATGAGCATGTATTAATGAATATGAAAGTATAAGGGACTGAGAATACCATGGAGTGAACATGTAAGCAAAGAGGAAGTTTTAGAGAAAATGGAAACAAAAAGGACACTTATACTTAACATCAAATGTTGAAATACATAGGGCATATAATGAGGAAAGAGGGCTTGGAAAAATTGACACTGACAAGACAGATGGACGGCAAGTGGGATGGCACATATCCTACCTACCGATCTCTTGTAAACGGTAGGATTGTGAAATGACAAAATTTGCTAAGAACTACAAAGGATAGGAAATTGTGGAGAGCCATGATCGCCAATGTCATGAAGAAAGAAGGGCATTATAAAAGTTTAAATATTTTCTTGTGTCAAAGTAAGCTTGGACTTAAGATTATAGACTGAAGTTTGCTCAGATCTTTTATACGGTTAATTTTAGGGTTATAGTGAATTTCAAAATGTGTTTCATATGCGCAAGGTGCATTTTCAAAATGTTGGTAAAAGAAGCTTCTTCCAGGAAAGAATTATATGGAAAAAAAAGAAAGATTGTCAAAACGAATACTGTATTGGTCGATGTAAATTGCCCTCACAATTTGCACACCAGTGTTAGAATTAAATTAATGAAATGAAAATACGTGG